CTCCTGTGACATTGTGCCTGGCTCCCACCAGAGTGAGCGATTCAAGGCAGCAGGAAGCCACCATGTCCTTTTTGACCCAGTTTTGAAGATCATACCCATTTCTCTAATACTCTCATTTATTCTTTAATTCTAGTATCTTCATTTCTCTAATATCTTATTGGGTACAGATCAACCCCATCCAATGTGAGCATGAATACCAGGAGGAGGAGATCACTGAGGTTATCTCTGAGGCTGGCGACCACATCAGTGAATGCGGAGTGAGTGGTTGAGCAGGACTCAGCCTGAGGCCATGGGGAATTAATCTGGAAGCTTCCTGATCCAAAGTGGAATGTCTTGTCAGCCCCACCTCTGCATCCTCCCCGACAGAGTACCATGCAATCCTGGCTCACAGCAGGCACTTGGCGAATGTGCATGGTGATGGGCCCTGGCCAGGTGACTCAGTTGGTTGGAGTGTAGTCCTGTCTGTACACCAAGAGGTTGCAGCTTTGATCCCTGGTTTGGGTGCATATTAGAGTCAACCGATTGATATTTCTCGTGCACACTGATATTTTTCTCTCTTTCCCCCTTTCTCTCTAAAATCAATAAACATATCCTCAGGTAAGGTTTAAAAACAACCCATGGTGGTGGATTTCAGAGAGCCCCATCTGGGGCCTCGGTCAGTTGTTTCCACAATTGGAGGCTGGGGGGCACCTGCTTATGGCCACCACAGATGGCATTGTGGCTCCTATTCTACAGAGTAAGCAGAATTCCAGAAAAACTCCAGGGTGACATGAAGTCACAAAGCAGGATAAGAATCCACAACTCTTGACTCTCATCCTAAGCTCCTTCCCAGGTGATACAGATCCTCAGTCCAGGGATGGAAGTTGACAGATTCTTAGAGCATTTGGACCTAACAACCCAGGATAGGTAAACAGGGCTGTGTGCTTCAGGGTCAAGAGTTATCTGCCACTGGGATTTGTAATGAGATCACCATTTCGACAGAGGTCATTTAGGGAAATCCCCAGGGCCAACGGCATGTCCCTATTTATCTGACAGGGCATTATAAATTTCACAGACACTTCTCAAACCAAATTTAACTGACTTTAATTCACCATAAAGAAAGGAAGAGATTCTGCATTTTTGGAGCTGATAAGTTAGAGATTCATGAACTCAGAGGCCTGGGATTCCTGTTCCAAGTCAGTCTTTTGGGCTGTGAGGACCACGTCATTCTCCCCTACGAAGACAGACTTGCATCAAAACTCCAACATGACTTTCTTTTGAAATCCTGATCTCACCACATCCAATGCCGAATATAAAAAATATAACTTAGAAAGAAAGATCCAAAATTATATTTTCTCAACTATAAAAATATGCATAAAAGGAAGGAAATATACCCCAATACCAAAATGTTGACTTGGTTACTGTTTGAAGATAGTATTATAGATGGACCATGTTTATTTTCTTTTTCCCACAAATAAACATGCGGAAAAAGTCAATTGCTCAGGGTTCTGGTGCTGAAGCAGGTAGAGTAGGCATAGTCTGTCCCCCTCCCTAAATACTACTAAAAACCCTGGACAGAATGCATGGAGCAGCCAGCTGACAACTCTGAAGGAGAAATGGTAGGTGGACTGGGAAAGGAACCAGAACTTGAAGTATAAACAATCTGGTGGCAGGTTCCCTGTTTGGTTCCTGTATCTCTTGGCCCAGCCAAAAAGGCAGCGTGAATCCTGGAACTGTGCACTGGACACAAAAAGAACTCCAAGAAAAGCTTTGGCATTGTCTTCTGAGGAGTAGGAAGGGGGGCCCCCTCCCATCAGGACAGATAGAATGAGGGAAATCACCTTTTTTTCTTTTCCATCTGGCCCTGCCCCCAGACAAGCCTCTGACTGAAGTTGAAACTTGGCAGCAGCGGTGGCAGTGGCATCTGGAAAAGCACCTAAAATTCTGAGGGGAACCCTTTTCTCTGACCAAAAGAACAGTGGCCTGAAACGTATGTGTGCATAGGAATCTCCATTTCCTTTCTTCTCTCTTCATATTGTTACTTGGCCCCAGAGCAGATCTAGTCCCCAAACGTATGCAGCAGGGCACGGGGACTGAAGGCCCTGATTTCTAGCTGGGGGACCAGAGAATGAGTGCTCGTGACAACCGGAGAGTGGGAGGAAGGTCGTGGAGAGGAGGGAGCTTGAGAAATGGATCCCATAAAGCTGCCATGGGAATTGCTTGGCTCATATGGGTGGGTCCGACCCTGAACAATATTCCAATGACTTTGAGAACTAACCTTTCAGGTAGACGCCCAGATTTCAAACTGGCCCCCGGGTGGCACGAGCTTAAGACAGATCTGATTTACATGGAAAGTTTGGAAAACTGAACTGATGCTGGAACTCTGGTCCTGTTAAAAAAATGAAATTCAAGTGAGTGAATTTTTTTAAAGATCTTACTGGCTTTGTTCAACAATTCATGAACTGAGCAGCATCCAATCTAGCAGATAAAAAGGAGCTCCAATGAATTGTACAGAATAAAAGACCTTTATAGGCAAAGGGGAGCAGGAACAAGGAAGTCATTCTAAGGGAAAGAAATGGGTTTGTTAGCAAGGTTATTGGGGATGACAGGATCTATCGGGCAATTCCTGATTGATTGGTTTGAGATCACATTGCTGGGAGAGCTGAAACTGTAATTAGGTCTCGATTTGGTGCCATGGGGTTTAGTGTAAGTGACTCCATTTTGGACCTGCTGTCTTATTTTTAACAACCCACAGGAGGCAGATCAGAATTGAAGTGAAATGGGTCACCTCCTAAAACAAAACCTCAAAATGTTCCAAAGGATTTAAACAAGACCCAGAGTCTCAGAACATCACATTCAAATGTCCAGTATACAACCCAAAATTATTCCACATACAAAGAACCAAGAGAGTCTGAACACGAGAGATGACCCAGGTGTTGAAATTATCAGAAAAAAATCTTTAGAAATGAAAAGATAGAAAGTCTCAGCAGAGAAATAGGAGCTACAGAAAATAGCCAAATGGAACATTTTAAACCGAGAAAATAATAAAAAATTTTAAATATCTGGGTGGCAGAACAGACGACTGAGGAGCCTGTGAACTTGAATAGAGCAATAGAAATTATCTGTGATAGGCAAAATGCCTGCCCCTGCCAAAGATGTCCAAATAACACTTTTTGTGTTATTTGACATAACAAAAGGGACCCTGCAGACAAAACTGACTTTAAAATTGAGATTATCTTCATTTTCAACATGCTGAATCTAATTACAAGAATCCTTAAAAAGCTGAGAATTTTCTCTGGCTGAATTCAGCAGAAGAAAAAGTCAAGAGTTATTCAAAGCATGAGAAGGCCTCAACCCATCACTGTAGGAGATGGGCCACATGGAAATCACTAGAAGGAATGTGTCAGCTTTAGGCAAAAAGACCAGCCCCTCCCAGCTGATAGTAAGAAAATGGGGTCCTCAGTCCTGTGACTGAAAAAAGTGAATTCGGTCAACCACTTTAATGAGCTTGGAAGTAGAATCTTCCCCAGAGTCACCAGTAACAACAAAGTGCACTTCATTTTAGCCTTATGAAACTCCTTGGTTTTGGTCTTGCGAGAACCCAAGCAAATGACTCCGTCAACCTAACCTCTGACCCACAGAAATAATGGGTGTTCGTTCAGTCACTAAGTTTGTGGCAAATGTTATAGCAGCAAGAGAAAATGAGTACGTTATCCAGTATGAACAGCAGAGAGAAAAAATTTAAAACAATAAACAAAGTCTCAGGAACTGTTGGACAGTATCGAAAGGGCTAATGTTTGTCTCATCAAGGACAGAGAACCAGAGAACACGGTGGAGAAAACATGTAAGTAATAGCTGGGAGTGTTACTGTAGACAGTGAGTCGGAGCACTGATTTCAGGGCCTTCTGGGGGGGGCCACTCATTCATCCCGTCGGCACCTGCCCCTGTGGGCCCTGGTGGGTGAGCCAGTCCAGGCCACTGGCTCTGACAGCTGATGATCTAAATGAAGATTTTCTAGGGGAAGCTTGAAGTACGCTCTTTGCTTTAGGACCCCCAGGTCGCACCTAGATTAAATAAAACAAGAGCTCTGGAAAAGCTTTGAAGTCTAGGTGTCCTCTGAGGCAGGGTCTGAAAGGGTTTAAAACTTTTTTTCCACACGGGATGAGTTTTTGAAAGAACACTTTGTAACAGTAAAGAACTATGCACAGATGCAGGAAATTCCATTATGAGGATGGCGGTGCTGACTTGGACCAGGAGGACCACAGCATCAGTCATGACAAGAGCAGCCAGTTACTCTAAGCACCTACCATGTGCCAGGTGCTGTGCTAAGTCGTTGAATCTTCACGAGAACCCTGTGAGGAAAGGGCTGCCACTGTTGGGACAGATGAGGGAACAGGCTCCAAGAGGTCCAGGGTCACAGGGGGAGGGGGTGATGAGGCTAGGTTCGGGTCTGCAGCTCCAGTTTTCCAAGCCAAAGCCTGTGAGAGGAACCTCTGAGGCCCGATTCCAGGCCTCTCCACACGTGCCCCATACAAAACTTATGCCTCCCTTCAAGACTGGCAGGGGACTGTCAAGGGCACTTTGAGAACTCATCATGTACAGCAGCACTCAAAAAAGTTTAAAATTCTTTGATATGGTGGAATGCTTTCTTTGAAAATTATCTTATGTGTAAAGCCAGAAAACTGCCCCTGTGGTTAAAGGTGGGAGGCAGGGTTGGCCTGGGGCCCCGAGGGCTCCCAGAGCACTGCTGCGGTTATCCAGTAGGTTGGCCCTTCCTGTGAGAAGCAAGGAGGTGCCATGTTGCTTAGGGCTCTGGCTTTGGGTAAAGATCGTGGCAGACTCATTCCTGGTTAGTTGGTCTGGGGGAAGGCTGCAGGGTTCCAGTCATGCCATACACTTTGAGCACTGGTCTATCTGACCCAGGCACAACTTGCCCCACTCACTCTCCCCTCCAGCCAACAGCTGTGACCTGTCGCTCACAGGGTAGGAGACTTATCTTTACCATTTTCCATTTAGTGAGTTTAATCTTTAAAGATACAGATTACAAGAGTAAAAGCTACAGCACGCTTCCTTTTTTTTATTGCTCTGATAAAAGGCATCATCTGGTTGTTTCTGTATCACAAAAGGAGAATGTTTAAGTTCAGATGTTAGTGTAGGATCAGCGGCAGATCTGCACCTCTGACCCTGGTGCAGGAGCTGGTGTCGTGGCTCACAGCGGAACCATTAAATGGGCCTCCTTCTCATAGACATCAGGGATCAATCCCATAGAGGAGTTGACCATGTGCACGGTGTTCTTGCCAAATAGCTGGAACTCATAGTGGATGAGCTGCTCCCAAAAGCCATTGTTGGGCCGGATGATGGGCCGACAAGATTTGGTCCACGTGTGGGCATCCAGCAAGGACATGGCATGGTATTTCATGAGGTAGGCGAGGCAGAGGGCAGCTGAGCGGCTCACACCAGCCACACAGTGGAGCAGCGTGCGGCCCTGCTTCATCTCGACACTGTGGATGTGGTCAGCAATGGGGTCAAAGAAGTCACAGAGACGCGACATGGGTGTGTCAGCCACAGGCACCTGTACATACTGGATGTCCTCATATAAGGTATTCACCACCTCCACTGAGACATTGATGATGGAGGTGATGTGGTTGCTGGAGAGCATAAGTTTGTTGTTGGCAGCCGCCCCGTTGCTGATGTACAGGCTGCTGGTGATCTGTGAGAGGCCGCTGACTGAGGGCTGTTGGAACTGAACTGGGAATGTACTCGGAGGTGCTGTCATCAGGCCGGTGGGTCAGTGGCCAGTGAGACATAAAGGCTGCATCTTTCTGCTAGGCTGTGTCCATGGAAAACTGCAAGGAGGGAAAGAATGTTTAGAGGGCAAGAGCCCAGCTGGACCAGACCAACCCCAGGGGATTTCTGGGACATGGATGGATGGGCCTACAGCAGAATTCCCCAAGGTGGTCCTCTGACTATCACACTGGAATGACCCAGGGAACTTACTAAAAATGCAGATACCCAATTTCTTCCTCAAATCCACTGGGTAGGCTCTGGGCTGAGGAGCATGGATATACATTTCGGCCATGCTTTTCAGGAATCCTAATGTGCACTGTAGGACAAAGGACCAACCCTGAGCCTGGCACTGAAGGTGTTCCCACATTTTTATTTGGGCAGGCCAACTGCTGAGTCTTGACCTAACCACCTAGGCTCACACAGCCCTCTTTTCCCTTCTCTTCAATACCCTCCCTCCCCTTCCAGCCCCTCTAAGTGGGAACTCACGTGGTCCCCCTCCTCTTCTGACTTTATGCTCAAATCATGAGACTCTGAACCAGTGTCCTAAAACCAGAGCCCAATGTGCTGGGAGTCACTGGGGTATAAGAGAGAGAAGGGTCTTAGCTTCTCCTCTCCAAGAACCATTTCTTTGAAGAGACAACACGTGCCCATGTGCAACAGTTCTGCATCATTAGCCATGCTCCTACACCTTGCCTCTAAGGAGAGCCTGGGGAAGACTGTCACTGAAAGTTTCCTGGAGGCCAGCTTAAGGGACACCAGACCACCCCCAAATGGCAAGTGCAGAGAAGCAGAGGGGCTTCATGTAGGCACGCCACACTAGCATGATGCTGTGTACAGCAGAACTGTGGCATGTACTCCAGGGTGGGGCAGAACCTCCTGCCTTCTCCTAAGAAATCCCAGGCCTCTTACTCTACCAGCCTTGAACAAAGCTATAAAAATAGTACATCTTCACGTTTCACTGAAATTGGAGCATTTGGACTCAGAGCACCTCTCAAACCAAATGGCAGTTTTCACGTGGCACAAACAAATAAGGAGCTGAAGTTCTGTTCCCATGCTCAATATATTTCAGTGGCCGCACAGTCAGAGTGAAATGGAGCCCTTTAGCTTGGCTGTCAAGGCCGTTTATGCCTTGGATCCTGCCTATCTCTTCACCTTCGTATTGGCCTTCCCTGTGTCCTAAAGGGCCTCAGCTGGGCTGAGCCGCTTGCAGTGCCACAGGGATATCTGGTCCTCTCTGGCCTTGGCTGCTCTCAGTCTCTTTCCTTACAAGGTTGTCAGATCCTAATCTGTTACCTTCAGCAGAGGACTGGTGAACCGGCATTAGCCAAGGATCAGTTCCAGAGGGAGATCTTCCAGGATCACAACCCTCTCCTACATCTGATCAAGTCCGTGCTTCAGGCTTTCTAAGCCCCATGTCTTCTCCTTAACACTTCCTGAAGATGCGGTTTTGCCTTGATCTGGGAGTTCTATTGCAACATCACTGTGTCTATCTTCACTCCTGTTGTGTAACCAGTGCCAAGCTCTGGGTCCCTACAAGTAGCTGCTTGATGAGTATTTTTTGAATAAAGGAATGTTTTCCAACCATGACTCTGCCTTCTGAGAAGACTTCTGGAAAGAATGATTTCTCTGGCTATATTTCTCTAGAATTTTGGGGAGGGGTTGGGTGGAGGGGAGTGTGGTTCTCAGGCTGTTGGAGAGGAAGGACAAAGGCTGCATAGGCAAATCCTACCTATTAATGCTCCAGAATCAAATGTATCAGGCTCACCCCAGGAGCAGCAGATGGGGCTGGTTTGTCCTTTCAAAAAAAAAAAATCCTCCCTCCCCCAACCCAGTTGGAAGCCTTTATGTTCAGGATCTTTCTCGTCCAAAAACCTAGAGAGAAGTGGACTGATGCCCTCCTCCCTTAGTGCCCAGTGCACAACAGGAATAGGGGAGACTGCTGTTCAGCACAGTGGCAAAAAGTTGCAGGATACTGCTCTCGAGCGTGAGGTTCGTGATGGCAGGAGAGTAGTATTCATTAGGTGCTGGGGATACTACAATGTACACAACAGCCATGGCCCTGTGTCTCACAGAGCTCACAGCATAGTGGGAGTCAGACATTAAACAATTACAGGTGCAACCCAGTTGAAAAATAGGGGTAACGGTGTCTACCTTAGGAGGATCTTCTAATGATTAAATGAGGTAACCCAGGTAAAGTATTTAACACAGACCCTGGCACTGAGAGAGCCTTCTAGAAATAATAACTATTCTTGCTCTTGTTCAGAAAGTTAAAATGCTGGGCATTAAGCAAGTGAAGACTAAAGAAATATACTTCTAGCCCAGGGCTAGGAAGTTGCAAAGGTCACCTGAAGAAATGACACAAAGAACGTTTAGAGTGAGGGGGCGGGAGGTGGAGAAACAGCAACTCCACTGCTGCTCAGTTTCACCGTTTTATAGCCTACAAAGCCTTTGGTTTCCCTTCTCTGGTTCCATCTTCAAAGCAACATAATAGGCCCATGTCTGGAGTTAAAATGTACATTTTACACATGGGGAAAGTAAGGTAGGGGAAAAGGACCTGTCCCCCTGACCGGTGTGCCGCAGTTGGTGGGGCATCGTCCAGCAAAGAGAAAGGACCCTGGTTTGATTCCGGGTCAGGGCACAGGTCTGGGTTTCGGGCCAGGTCCCCAGCTGGGGACCTGTGAAAGGCCATAGATCGTGGTTTCTCTCACACGTGGATGTTTCTCTCTTTCCCTCTCCTTTTTCCTCTAAAATAAAAATTTTAAAGGACCTGTCTAGGGTCACAAAGCAGGTCCGAAAGCCAGTCCTCCTGGTCTCATTATGTGTGGGGAAAACTCGGCAAACGCCGTGGGGTGTTTGTTAATTCTGGGTTATACACGAGGAACAAAGTCCACTGGTTGACAGGACCAATGCGCCACTTCCAGATGAGAGCCAGATAGGTTTCCTGGGAAGGGGCATTGTAATGGGCTTCCTCATCTGCTGGGTTTCAAGACCTAGATGGTCTTACCTCACTCCCGCTGGCTCGAGGGCAGATTCGTTCAGGAAGCAACCGCTCCCAAAGACTCGGACGGGGATCTCGGGGAGAGAGAAGACGGGTCACGCACGACCTGGGAGCCACAGTCCTTGGAGGCCAGGTGCTCTGGTTTCCCTAGTGATGGCCCCTAGCCTCAGGGAAGAATTCGCCGTGCCTAGCCTTCGGAGAAACCTCGGCCTGGTCTCTCAACCTTGGAGTTGCCCCGCCCGCACTCCCCCAATTACCCGCCCCAAGATCACACGCCGGGGCCAGAGCGCCCTACTCAGCAGGCACAGCCCATTCCATTGGCCTAGCCCGTCTCCATGGCAATTGCCGGGCCACGCCACGGCAGTCGCCGAGGGACAATCTTCGTTTCCTCCGCCTTTTGGGCGCCGGGGGCGTTGGCTCCTCCTTGTCCCGCCCCATTCTCGTCTCCGGAGCAACGGGCTGCCCTCCGGTCACTACCCCTGCTCACCGCGCCTCTTTGCCGGTCCACCCAGAATGGCTTTCAGTCTGGCTCCTAAATCGTTCTCTGACGTGGAGTACGAGATTGCCCAGCAGCAAAAACCCTCGGTCTCATGGAACTTAAGTTTGCCCACGGTCAATACGGCCGCCATCCAGACGAACCCCAGTTCTGGCACCTATTCGGCCTCAGCCATTTTCTGGCGCCGTAAATTCAGCCCCGAAATCAGCTTAGGGACCCAGCCGCACGTCGTCTTCCTGCGCCCGCGGACCTCGCAGCTGCTAGTGCTTTTCAGGTGCGGCCCGGGTGCCCGGAGCTGTTGTCAGACACCTCGGGGGAGCCGAACTCCCCCGCACTTCGGCCCCCTCAGCCGGCCCCTGGAGTCCCGGCTGTCTCTCCCAGAGTCCGGCTCTCCTTGACCCCGTGCCTCACAGCCCCGGGCGCCGGCTCCTTCCCGGTTGAGCTCTTAGCACTGCCGGGAGCCTGAGTCCCCTAGGCCCTGACTCCGGGGAGAAACCGGAAATCCCATATCCCACCCACCCACCCAGCAGGCTTAATCTGGCAGTCCTGACGTCGCGTAGTCCAGGGGTCCCCAGCGCCCTTTGGACCGAGCCTTGAACTTCTTAGAGCCCAGCGAGGCTCAGGTCCCCTCCTCTCCTCAGCCTCTGTGTTCTCCAGGGGCCCTGGGAAAACTCCAGTGCCCTGGGCTCGGCCTCAGTCTGGCTTCAGTCCCCAGAGAGAAAGCCTTCAGTTCCCTCAGCCTGGCCTTGGCTCCCAGAGACCCCAATTTCTCCTCCCCACTTCCATTTTACACCTCCCGCCAGCATGCTCCAGGGTCCCACAGAGGCCTTGCTTTGGAAAACAATTTGGTTCAAAATAACCATTTATTACTCGAAAGGAAGTATTTCCAGTCACTGCCTTTTCCTTCCTTCCCAGGAAGTACTGGTAAATTTGGTGCACCACTAAATAGGTAAACAGTATTTTATGTCTTTAAACATTTTTAATGTTTTTTTTTTTAAACAGGATTTGGGGGACTTTTGTATGTGACATCTCAATCTCTAATCATCACCTCGTGCCTTTGGTGTCTGAAAATTGTAAATGGGAGATTAGGGCCATTTACTTCCACTAGTTCGTAAGAGTAAAAACTGTGAATCCAAATTGGCTGCAAATGAATTAGAAAAAAAATTTTAATCCTTCGAAACGTTTCCTTTTAACTATTGTGGGTTTTTTTGTTATATGAAAGTAGTATACAATTATTATAAAAAAATTCATACAAGACAAATCAATATGAATGACCAGAGACAATCACTGTTACTATTTTGTATATTATTCCGGATCCATTCATATATGTTTTTACTACTACGTACTTACACATTTTTGGGGGGAGGAATGTCACCAAAAAGTTCACTATTTTGTAGCCTGCTTTTCTCACCACTTCATACAATATGAATATCTGGTTCATTCATAACTGCAGAGTGTTTTATTGAATGGCCTAATCATAATGCATTCAGTTGCTTCCCTGCTGTACATTTAATTTCCACATTTTAGAAAGAAAATATGAGCAATTCTTTTGAAATGGGTAACAATATTTAAAGGTGCATAATTGCAAAACCACTTTGTGTTGTAACCAAATGATCAAAAAGTGAAAAGTCAGTCTCTGATATTATCCACTTTTGACCAGTTCCTCATTTTGACCAAATCCTTATCTCTAGTTTTACCTGGCTCCTTGTCACTCCACCCCACCCCATCCCATGCCACCTCATCTTCTATGTTTCATCTTCTACGTTTCATCTCCTCAAACATTTGTCCTTCCCATACTTCTCTCACTTTGACATTTTCCAAACCTTTGCTCTTAGAATTCCCCTATTAACCAACCTAACCTCTGCCCAAACTCTTTATTTTCTTTTTTCCTGTCTCTTCGCCCCAGAGCCCCCTTAGACCTGGACTCTGGAGCAAGTATGCCCACCTCGGCTCCCCTCAAATTCAGCCCTTTGAACCCAACCCTACAACTTTTGCTCCTCTTCTTTGAGACCCCCGTTTCCCACTTCATCCTTCAGTTTTGCTTAAAAATGGCTGCTCCAGTGGACAGTTCTGAGTCCTTGCCGGCACTTCCTTTGTGGACTGCTCTTTCTACTTCCTTTTCAGGATGGCTTTTCCTCTCAGCATCCAAGAAACTACTCCTTTTGCACACATTTTCCATAAGAAGAAACCTAAGCCTCCCTTGCTCCTCTGACAATTATGGTAGAGCTGTGCCTCTCCCCAGAAACCTGTGAGGCCTCAGCAGCTACCCCAGGACCCCATCATATCAGGCCCCAGCCATCTCAACCTGTACCACCTTCCTCTGCCCCTTTCAGCTTAATGAATTCCAGTGAAGCAGCTGTGACAAAATTTTTACCCAAGAGCCACTTATCTCGGGTGATTATTCGTGACAACCTCAATGCACAACGACTCTATGAGATGGAGGTAAAGTCCTCAAAATCTTTTGTGTTGTTGGAGGGTATTAGTGGCTTGACCCACATTTATTTCACTCTCACTGATCCTTGGGGGGAGGTCACAGATCTTAGAGGTGGTAGGGAGCCACCATGGCGCTCTAATGCAAGTCCCATTTTCCAGAGGACACGGAGACCCCGAGTTACTGATTTGCCCAGAGTGTCACAGCTGTTCCTAGGCTGAGGGAGCCTGGGAAAAGGATTTCATGTTTTGGCTCAAGTGACAATTTTTTCCCCCCTCAAAGCACATTATTGCCCTGGCTGGTGTGACTCAGTTGGTTGGAGGGTTGTCTGGTGGACCAAAAGGTTGTGGGTTTGATTCCTGGTCAGTGTACATGACAGGATGGTGGGTTTGATCCCCAGGAGAGTGTGAGAGGGCAACCAATCAATGTTTCTCTCTCTCCCCCCTTCCTCTCTCTAAAAGCAATGAAAAAAAAAATGTCCTTGGGTCAGGATTAAAAAAAAAAAAGCCCATTACCTTTCTATTCAGGGAATCCATGAATGGATTCCTATTATCTCCCATAAAAAGGAGTCTTGGGTACTAGAGCTTGAAATGGCATCAACACGGTTCAGTCAGTTTTTTCCTTTAGGGATTATTCCCCATTTTTCATAAAAGAATTGAGGATCTACTAGTTTTTGCTTACGGACAACTAGGGTTTGACCTAGTTGAGCTGCTGCCCCCTTCGTTAGTCTGTCTAGCTTCCCTCCATGTTCCAGGGCCAAATCTGGATGGGCCCATGGGATTCGGGACCACAGAGACCAAAAGAAGAGTAGAGACCTGGTTGGTAAGCTCCCTCTGCTAAACTTCCAGCTACCTGCTGTAGTCGAAATAGGGATGGGCAGGCCAGCTTTGTGTGACCTTGGGAAATCACATTTCTTTCAGTCCTCTCTTTTCTCCTTTGTAAAATAGGATCTATTAGGATTCTCTCAGTTGCCGGTAACACAAACTGAAGTTGAGCTAGTTCAAGCAAAACAGAGAACCACGAGTTCACATTATCGAAGATGGGTAGGGTAGGGTCACGATGTTTGGGATGAAAGAAGCCAGGGCTCCAATACCAATGGACATGTCTCCACTCTCCCTCTTCATCTCCTTTTCTGCTTCTTTCTGCATGTTGGCATCATCCTCAGGCTAGCTGTCTGTGGCCTCCTCGGGGAGTGTGGCCACAGGAAACTGGCCTGTAGCCCAGAAAGGAAATGGAGTGCTTTCACTGTTGCTGGAGTTAGACAAATCCTGGGAAAGGACTCCAGTTGGCCCAGATGACCCATCCCGGCACCAATGACTGTGGCCAGGTGGTGTAGACCACTTAGACTGGCCCAGGAGAGGTTGGGTCCAACTTCTATAACCAGTGGGTAGGGGGTATTATACCTTTGGCAAGCAGGGTATCTCCAAGATACCGTCACTGGAAACTCTCCCAAGTTTTATGTGTACCAGAGGGCTGTGCCATCCAGGAGTTCTTTTTTTTTTTTTCAATTTTTATTTTATTTTATTTTTATTGATTATGCCATTACATTTGCTCTATTCCCCCCTCCCTTCCCCTCCACCCTGCATACCCCTCCCCCACCATTTCCCCCTTTAGTTCATGAACATGTGTCTCAAATTCTTTAGATTCTGTATTTCCCCTACTATTCTTACCCTCCCCCCATCTATTTTCTATCTACTGTCTATGCTACTTATTTTCTGTACCTTCTCCCCCCTTCCCCTCCTCCCACTCCCCTGTTGCTAACCCTCCATGAGATCTTCATTTCTATGGTTCTGCTCCTGATCTAGCTATCCTCTTAGTTTGCTTTTGTTTTAGGTGTGGTTCTTAATAACTGTGAGTTTGCTGTCCTTTCACTGTTCATCTTTTTTATCTTCTTTTTCTTAGGTAAGTCCCTTTAACATTTCATATAATAAGGGCTTGGTGATGATGAACTCCTTGAATTTGGTCTTATCTGAGAAGCACTTTATCTGTCCTTCCATTCTAAATGAAAGTTTTGCTGGGTAGAGCAATCTTGGTTGTAGATCTTTGGTTTTCATGACTTGGAATACCTCTTTCCAGCCCCTTCTTGCCTGTAAGGTCTCTTTTGAGAAATCAGCTGACAGTCTGATGGGAACTCCTTTGTAGGTGACTGTCCCCTTAGCTCTTGCTGCTTCTAGGATTCTCTCCTTCATTTTAATCTTGGCTAATGTAATTATGATGTGCCTTGGTGTGTTCCTTCTTGAGTCCAACTTCTTTGGGACTCTCTGAGCTTCCTGGATTTCTCGGAAGTCTATTTCCTTTGCCATCTTGGGGAAATTCTCCTTTATTATTTGTTCAAATAATTTTTCAACTGGTGGTTGTGCCTTTCCCCCCTTCTGGTACCCCTATAATTCGGATGTTGGAACGTTTAAAGATGTCCTGGAGGTTCCTAAGCTTCTCCTCATTTTTCTGAATTCTTATTTCTTCATTCCTTTCTGTTTGATCATTTTTTTCTTCCGTCTGGTCCTCTCCCTTGATTTGAGTCCCAATTTTCTTTCCATTACTATTGGTATCTTTTGTATTAGCATTCATTTCAATTAATTTAGCTTCCATATGTTTCTCTAATTTGTGACTGAAATCAACCAGTTCTGTAAGGATCCTTATAACCAGTGTTTTGAACTGTGCATCTGAAAGACTGGCTATTTCCTCATCACTTAGGTCTATCGGTTCTGGGGCTCTGAGTTGTCCTAGAGCCATTTTTGGTCTATTCGTGCTGTTAAGTGAGCGGAGCGAAGCCTTAGTTGTTTACCAGGACGGGGCGACCCAGGTCGCTGGTTTGTGACACTGTGTGTGGGGGCGGGGTCAGAGAGGGAGCAATGGCGTTCCTCTCCGCTAGCCCAGCGCATCCAGTCACTCACACGCCTCGGGCTTGCTTATCCGATCCTAATTGTGCGAGCCTGCTGCACCGCGCGGGTTTCCCTTCTCACTGGTTTCTCTGCACGTAAATGTGCTCGCCCGACCGACCCACCGCGCCTCTTCCCTGTGCGCTCCGGCAGCCAGCTCGCTGGCGATCAGCGCTCTCGGTTGCCTGCACGCACCGCGCACCGCCCCGGGAATTTTTTCTTGCTAACCTGCTCCGCTGCTGGCCTCGCTCCTCGTACTGGTCCAGCCGAGTATCTAGTTGTCCTTTGGACTCCGTATTGTCGATTTTCCGTGTGGCTTGGTTGTGACTGCTGTTAAAAATAGTTGTTCTTAGATTTGGTTGTGCACAGAGGTGAGGTGGATCCTCCACCTACTTCTCCATCTTGGCGGAAGTCCCAGGAGTTCTTTTAAAGCTGAATTGAGCCCTTGTGTATCTTATGTGTTCAACATTCAGTAGGTATTATTACCCCATTGAAGAGTTCAGGAAACTGAAATTCAGAGAGATAGAGTAACTTCACCAAGGTCACAGGGTGCATCATCGCAGAATTGCAAACCTGGGTCTGACTGACCGTGGTGCAGGATGGTCTCCCTTAAGGTCCCGGACTGTCTTCTTGGGTGTAGACCCAGGGGGTTGCTGAGGGCCCATCTTGTAGGAACTCAGCAGAGTTGAAGCTTGAGTGGCAGCGTGGCAGTGTTTCTGTCTTCCGCCCAAAGCGCTCACTTTAGGGGAAGAGGCAACTTTGACCAGCCACTGATTTCTCAGGATCTTAAGATGTAGTGTCTTGGGAATCCTCTGAGCACACTCTGAGAACAATGAGGCTGATATCTCTTCTCATCCTTAGTTGAAAGAGGGCCATGGCTTTCAACTGGGGATCCCTTAGGGGACATTGGCAATGTCTGGAGACATTTTTGGGAGCACAAGTAAGAGTGCTTGTGGGTGATGTTAGTAACATTTAGTAGGTAGAGGCCAGAGATGCACAGGGCAGCTCCCCACCACAAAGAATTACCTGGCCCTAAGTGTCAACAGAGTCAAGGCTGAGAGACACTGATCCATAGTAAAAGTCAAGCTCAAGGTGAGATCATTGGCTTAGGCCCAAAAACCTGCTGTCACAGGGGTGAACTATTAGAAAATAGTGATACAAAGCAGCCACTTAACTTCTCAATGGCTGTATCAGCATCGACTCAGATACATGATAAAAATATAGATTCCTGGGCCCCATTCAAACCTCAGCTAGAATCTCTGGGATCTATATTTTTATCAAGTAACTGAAAGGGATTTGCACCATGTCCTTTGGTGTCCATATTTTCTGCCACCCACTCTCCCTCTTTATTCTTTGCTCCCAAGATCCACTCAGGTACCAAATCTTTGTGTCAAATAATTGTGACAACATTGGCCTCATGGAGCGCTCCTTTGCTTATATTGTGTGCATTTTGAGACAATGTTGGTGCTTAGAATCCCTAGGTGAGTTTGTTAAAGTGTGGACTCTCAGGATTACCTCCCGCCTGGGGAGTAATGCTCAACACTTCCCAATCCTTCAAAACCCAACCCTCCCCCACAATTTATATGCCAAGTCTCCATGAGGCTTTTCTTGCTCTCTCCCTTCTTTGAACTTGATGCTTTTTAAAGGAATGTATCACTCTTTACCTTGCTTAGAAATATTTGGGCATGTGCCTCATCTTCCTGACTATGTTGTAGTTTCTGTGAGGACATGCAGCTGATTTTTTCTTCATATCCTCTCCACAGCTAGCTCATTGGGATAAATAAATGAATAAGTAAATAAGATAGTGGATGGGACATGCAGAGTATATTGTTTTATTGGGGACATGGCAAAAATGAAATAATAAAAGAAAAAAGTAGAGTTCAATGTGATGTAGGAGACGTCTCACACAATTGTGGGAAGCACTAAATGAGTAGTAGGGAATGGTGACAGGAGTTAAAGAATGGGAAAGGGAAGGAACAAATGTACCTGTGCGCCACACCCTCCCCCAACTCTTTCTGACCAGTCTTCAAAGAGAGGTAGCAAGGTCAAAATCAGGGTCCTAGGCTGCATACTGTCAGAAGGTACCCTAGGAGTTATCTCCCTCAATGCCCACATTTTACAAATAGGGAAACTGAGGTTCCCTGGGAGTCAAATTATTGATGGAACATTGGATGCAGCTGGCATGTCCCCCCCCCCCGTTCCCCGACCCCCACCGCGTTGGAGCAACACAGATGTCTCTCTTGTGGTGTAGTTTCTTTATTCTAACCGCATCTTTTTTTTTTTGTAAGATTAAAGCTGCAGAAAAGACCAAGAAAAAGATGAGCCATTTGCATGACCACCTGAAAAAAAAGTTCATGATGGACCAGATCAGAAAGCTGGGGCGTTGGAAACGGGAGTCCATGAATATGAGGCAGTACCTGGAAAGCTACGGAGTAGCAAGGTCACTGAATTCTAACAGGAAAGCCAGCCGCTCTAGTCAAGGCAGTTTATCTGCCCAGAGACCATGAAAACACCCGACTGACAGGAGGAGATGATGTGGGAGCTAGCCAGCTAACACCATCGTAGAACAATAAACGGAGACCATCAGGCAGTGGAGCGCAAAAAACCCTGCAATTCTGATATTTCTTGCCCTGCCCCGTTCCCTCTGTTCTGGTGAAGGAGATCGTGATAGTCCCCTTGCTGCCTGAGTGGAGGGGGCTTAACTAAGCCAGCTCTCATGGTCAAAGCAAAGATGGACCTTCAGTACTCACATGTCTGAGGTGGAATGCCAGGCCGGGGGCACTGGGACAATGGGAAGGGCTCTGTAATGCCTAGCTTTCATTCCAGTGGTAAGGAGGTCAGGGTGGGGGATTAGATAGACCTAGGTCAAGTGCTATTTCTCTGTCAGCAATGTGACTTTGTAAACTCTCTGAACCTGTTTTCTTATCTGAAAGAATGGGGGAGTAACGAGGGACTACGTCCAAGTGCCTGGCCCAGGGCTCATCATTTCCAATGGCTCTCATCGGGATGGCTTCACTTGGCTCCCAGTCTCTCCAGTCCCCACTCCCTGGCCTGCCTGCTGTCCCAACTGCACCCCAATTGTTCCCCATGTTGTGCCTTTGCACAGGTCCCTTCTCTAGAATGTCTCTTTATCGTCCCCAAGGCACTCAAGAAACACATCCTTTAAGGCTTATCTCAATGCTGGTTCCCCCGTAAAGCTGCTCTGATCTTCTGCCTCTTGCCTGCCCCTTATCCCACCATGTCTAAACTACATGGGTTTCCCCTCCCCTCTGAACTTGGATTACCTGTGGTGGCTTCACTCTGCCTTGTGTGGTACCTGTGTGGATAATTGTCCCAAACTCCTGATTAGATTGTACAGTCCGAGAGCAGGGACGGAAGATCCTCCAAGATCCAATTCAGGCCTCTTTGTGACATTTCCCCCGACCTGGTCCCAATGGAAAAGGCCACTCCTTCCTGTGCCCTGCAGACACTTCTGTCTGCACCAAGCATGTGGTTGGCTATTTCTTGTTTGCTCCCTGTTTCCCTCACCACACTGTGAATGTCTTAATGGCATCTCTGTAACCTCACTGCCTCGTAAACAGGGTAGTCAGTGTTTTTTTTTTTAATAAATTACTCTCTTACTCCTTTTTCTGTTACAGTTTCAGCACAGTGCACAGAGTAAGAGCCTGGTACATATTTTTCAAGTTAACAAACTCCTCTCATTTTACAGATGAGGAAACAGAGGCCCAGAGAGGTGACCTGACTCGCCCAAGGTCACAACAAGTCAGTGGCAGAGAACTAGAAACAGGTTTCCCAGCTGCTGTGGTGTGGTCATTCTGCATCGCCACCACTGCTAGGTAAGGACCTCAGTCCTCTTGGTGGCTTTCAGAAGTCTTCCTTTACCTGTCCTCATCCTCATTACGCCCTTTCAGCATTGCCGCCTGGCCATTCGGCAGGCTTTCCTCTGAGCTCGGTCTTGGTCCCCAGCGATGGGACCCGGAAGGGACGGGCAGCCAGATGTTCACCATGTTCCTATGGCCCCCCCTTCAGGATCTTCCTTGGAGAACTAGAGCGTGCTACTTTTCAGCGGGAGCCAAAACAGTCTTTTTCTAGGTTCTTGTCTGTTTTCTTGGCTGAGCACAGCTGATTAGAATAATTGATTTAAAATACTTAAATTCTGTTATATAAGCAACTTGACCATATATGCCACCCACCCCCCAAACCTCTGTTAGATTAACCACTGCTAGCATCTTGCTATATTTCTTCTCTTTGATGTATTTGTTTCATTTCAACAACAGTTTTTTTTCCCTTTATACCGTACCAGGAAAGGGATCCTGAAGTCTTCGGGGGGCTTGCAGAGCAGGCCTGGTCCTATTTTCTCTAAACTATCCCCAGGAAGTCTCTGTCTCCTAGGTCTCCCAGGCCTCTTTGAGCCTTATGCTCCTCTAGCCCCCAGCCACATGCACCCTTCTTCCCTGGATGGCTGGCCTTAGCCAAGGGTCTTTGCATCTCATGCTGTGGTCCAAAGGACTGGGGACCCCTGGGAGTGGAGTGTGTGGGGAGTTGGTGTGTCAATCTAATGAGCCACTTTATTCGCCACTAACTCATTTCTACTTCTGTGGCTTAGTCTTCCCACTTTTGCATTAAAAACCAGAGGATGTTGTATTTAAATAAGGAACAAGAAGTGATGAAATTCTGGAGAGGCCACCTCATTACTGGGAGTGAAAAGGGTTAAAGATAAGGAAAATCAATGAAGGAAGAATGGAGGGATGTTTGATGGGAAGATAATGTTCAAGAAATAGAATCTTGAAGCATGAGGGGTTTAGAGATTCTTCAGTGGATACATACCCACACCTGGGTCTCTTAGTTTAAATGAAATCTTACCTGGAAGCCCATTCAACTAATCAAAACCACCAACATATTCATATTTATTGCATGTGTGAGGCACAGCTCTTTTTAAATATGATTCACTGAATCCCTCCAACAACAAAGTGGCAATTTTATTAGCCCTGGTTTATAGATCAGAAATTGAGGCTCAGAGGGCAAGAATCCTGCCTAAGGCAGCCAATAAGCAACAAAGCCCACCTCAAGCCTGTCTCACTCCAAAGACCTTCTTCTAGCAACCATGTGATAAGCTCCCTCTTTATCGGTCTAGTTGGAAGTAGAAGGCCTGGGACCTGCAGGCTTCGGAATACAATTTCACAGATGATATTGCAGGAACCTCGGCTGTAATGTCAGTTACCTGCGGTCAGCTACTTAACAGAGAACTGGACAAAAACCCAGGTTTTCCTTGTACCAGGTGGCTTAGAAGAGACTGTCATCCATTCTGGGATAAATAGTCTGTTAGGGAGAGTTAGGCTGGGCTCTAAGAGATAAGGGAAAGGTTCACCCCAGAAGTGGAAGAATGGGACACAGGAGTTCTGACCACTGCCCATTAGTTAGGAAAAGATGCGACCCAGGCCTTTGGCGCCGGGGCCAGGACAGATCCCAAAGAGACCACAAGGGGTCAGCAGACGCTCGTGTGCTCAGCTAGGATAGGTGCCTCTAAAGCACAAGCCTGTCTGAGAGCGAGGCCAAGTCATTTAACTCCTGCGGATTCCGAACACAAACAGCAGGCAGGGTCACATCTTGTCCCAGCCCCTAGTTGACTCAAAAAATGTTACTCTGGGTACATAAAATTCAGAGCCTGGCTCAGCTGCTGTCTTTGGAACTCTGCAGGGCTGAGGGAGCAGAGCCAGCACAGGCTTTGCACAGGGATCCCTACCTGCCCCAGTAACTTTTCTCTGGGCTTCAGCTCTCCCAGCCACAACTGGGGTGGGTGCTGGTGGCTGGCCTCTGCCCTTCCTTCCAGTTCTCAGGATCCAAGACATGGCACAGAGATTTGCACACATAACGCTCCCTGCGTATCTGCTGAGTGGATGAGAGCAACTCCTGCTCTGAGCAAAGCCAGTAAAACCCAGGCTTATACAAAATATTCATCCAGGGTGACTTTTGCTTTACTAATTAATATACCACTTAACAAGATGATTCCTAATGGAATGCCTTTAGCCAGCCCATCTGCTCACTGGGAGCATTTCAAATGTTCTTTCCTTAAAACACTGTCATTCAAATACACATCCTTGCTGGGTTCAGTTGGGTCTCTCATTTGCTGGAAGTACCCCCCACCCAGGAGCTTTGCGTAATGGTCTTTCTCAGTTCTCCCTGTGGCTCACCACCACTCACTCACCTTCCACCTCGTTTAGCATTTATCGAGCTCTTCACACGGACCAGGCACTCCTGTAGCCAGAAATCACCTGTGAACAAACCTGACTCAAATCCCCTGCCCTCATGGAGCTTACATGAGAGCAGTCCATAGGGACAAATAATGAATCAGATTTAACCCCCTGGCCGTTGGCGGCTGGTGCTTCCTTTGGGCTTTACAAAGAGAATACATTTCACATTTGCCTTGCTCAATCCTTTGGCCACCAGAAGTGCTACCCGAACGCCTTGAGGGCTCCGTGTGTCCTCATCCCCTGCTGCTGCAGTGAGGTTGTATTTGATGTGCGTGGGCCCTGCAATCAGATGGCTCTGAGTTTGAATCTCAGCTCTGACTCTCTGGGAAGTCATTTCACCTCCTCGCAGCTTCGGCTTCCTTGTTTGAAAGCCAGAAATAATTGTAGTACCTAGCTCATAGGCTTGTTCTCAGAACTCCATGAGCCAATGTGTGTCAGGAATTGCCACAAGGCCTGGCACCTCATGGAGGCAAATGTGAAGTGGGCTGTCAGGACAGTCGTAATTGTTGTGCTGTACTTGGAGTTGGTGTGTAAACCCCTAGACGTAGCCTGGTGCAGGACCGTGAGCCCCAGAATAAGGATCTCAGCTCTAAGACCCTGGGTAACATACACCCCATCCCTGGGCCTGGGTGGACTTCTCTGTTTCCTCATATTTCAGCTAATCCCTTAGGAGGAGGAAATTGAACTGAGATACATTCATAGCCTGTTAGGGTCCCCAAGTTGGAGAGTGCCTGTTGGGAACCTGGCCATGGAGCAATGGCCACTGGATCCCCAACCAAGCTTTCCTCGGGTAGTTCTAGGAGGCTGAGTGCATGGTCTCTACCAGGATGAAATGGTCATGGGGGAAAAACTGTTCCTTAGCTTTGTTCAAAGGGCGAACCGGGAGGGTCAGATCCTGCAGAATTAGCTTTTCAACCGTGGTTCCCATACTTCTTCCCACAAACCAGGTCTCATGAATTCTTTCTCTTCTCCAAAGAGGCCCCTCAATTTTTTACCTTGGAACCTTTGATCCTACTGTTCACTCTCGGGGAGAGAGAGCCTCCCACATCTCCACCTGAGGAAATTCAGCTCATGCCCTTCGGGGTGTGGCTGCTAGTCCACCTTCCTTGTAGAGCTTGACCTGAGGTGAACTCTTCCTTCCTAGACTGGATCCACTTCATCCACCTCAGACCTCGTGTTGCCATCATCCACTAACCTGCCTTCGTTCTCTCATTGGACCAGGAGCTCCTGCCAAGCAGGGACTGAACAAGATGACAAACAGGAGGCTTACTACCCCTTTCTTTGTGAAATTTGCATCCTGTGCCACCAACCGTATTCTCTGGAGCTCCCAGGTTATTTCCAAAGTGTTTTCTACTTTTTTCCCCTTCTATTGCTTTATA